AAAAAAAAAAAAAAAAAAAAAAAAAAAAAAAAAAAAAAAAAAAAAAAAGCAATGACAAAACAATACATTTCCTTTAACTGAGAAATCAAGTAAGTCTTGTGAGAACTAGAAGGTAGGAAAACTTCAGTGAGAGAGAAAAAGGAGGCTTTCCAAAGGACATACAGGGTTTTGAAAATCAAGTGACTCATTCCTCTTGAGCTGATTTAATTGAACTCCTCTATCAAGCTTTTCACATCCAACCACTTGTGTGATGTGGAGAAAGGTCTGCTGGAGTGTTACTACCATTCTTCTCAAGAGTCTAGCAGTCAAAACCAGAACCACCCCCTAATACTGGAGGTATTAGAAATTAGAGGCTCAGGCCCCACTCAAGGTCTTTCCATGGAGAAGCATTTGCACAAGATCCCCAGATAATTCTTATGTGCATGAACAACTGAGATGCACTATCCTAGAAGATGAGTGGAGCCTCATCTCGGGAAGTAAGCTTTCCACAGGGTCTCAGGATCTCTCACCCAAAAAGGCCTGCATTCAATGTCTGCACTGAACATATCCTAAACTTTTTGATCCCAGAATCTCTTTAAACTCTTAACAGTTTTTAAAGACAGCAAACAGATTTTGTTTATGTGGGTTATAGCTACCAATATTTACCATACTAGAAGTTAAAACTGGGAAACGTTTTATTTGACAGTCCATTCTAAAACAATAATAAATTCCTACATGTTAACATAAATAATCGTTGTTATACAAAACAACCATCTTTTCAAACAAATATTAGTGAGTAGAGTACCATGGTCTTACATATTTGCAAACATTTTTAACATCTGGCTTAACAGAAGACAGATGGAGTCTCATATCTGCTTCTGCATTATAGTGGTTGCCATAATACACATTGGGTAACCCCTGAACTCCACTGTGTCCTCAAAGAGTGAAAGTGGAAAAATTTTTATTTTAGAATTATTATGAAAATAGTTTTGACCATACAGACCACCAGACCACACTTTGAGAACAGGTAATCTATCACATTCTTAGAGCTCCCCTGTCTTCACAAAACCTTTACCTGTTGCCCCTAAGAAAATGCCGTATCTGGAACTGTGCCAACTGCAATGATTTGTCACAATTGCAAAGAAAATTCTTAACTGCATCTACTGAGACAAAGAATTGTTTCTTAATTATATAAGTTCTTTGGATGTAAAGATTCCACATCCTCCCTTCAAAGACAAGTTTAATGATCCTCACAATTGTGTATTATCTTAGCCAAGCCAGGCAAGTTTTGTTAAACCTCACTGGAGATAGCATTGGCTGTTTTCACTCTACTTTACATAGGTACATTAAAAATGAAGGGAGGCTATGCATAATAAAAAATACTGTCAATTATCAATAGTAAATAAATGTTCATTATATATTTTCCACAGCAGCTCTTGCTACACATTTAACATCTGAAATGTTGTGAGTTTTTGTTTAAATTTTCTTACTTATGAAAAACTACCTGCTGCCTTCTGTTTTATTCCTGCTTCCATGTTCTATCTCTGGTTTATCTTGCTACTATTTTGCCTCATTATCTCTCATTATCTCGTGCTCCAAGAACCTTACTTGTCTAATTTATTGTCTCAGTAGCCAAGCGAAAATTGGTCCTACTTGCTCCTGAAGCAGACTAAGACAAAATTCACAGATCTAAAGGAGACCTTAATGATCATCTAGTCCAGCAATTCTCCATCTTTCATGCATAAGAGAATCACCATTGCTTGGAGAATTAAAAGGAAAAGAAAAAGAAAAAACCAGACACACACACACACGCACAATGCCATAGTCCCACCCCAGATTAAATAAATCCAGCTTTCTAGGGTGGACTCAGACTCTGGTCCACCAAAAGATTCTACCATGTGGCCAGAGTTGAGAAACTCTGATATAGTCCAACTCTTCCTTTTACAGATAGGAGGCCGGGACGGCCAAGACGGAAAAGATCCTTACTTAGAATCACCAGGGAAGAACTAGGATTTGAACACCACCTTCTGGGCAAACAGGACAAGACTCTTCTATTAGTTGATTTAATTCAGAGTTCTCAAAAACAGTTTACTCCCCTTCCTTTGCATGGAAGTCATTTTTCAAATAACTTTATTAATGTATGTTTATACACAATAAAATAGATGCACCTGTTTTAATTTTAAAGTTTAACAAGTTAGATAAGTATATACACTCATGTTACTACTTCCCCAATCTTGAATAGGACATTTCCAAAACTTCCCAGGAAGTTTCCCCTTGCCTCTACCCTGTCAGCAATCTCCTTCCCAGGCCCCAAGTGACAATTACTCCAATTCCTGCCACTATAGATTAGTTTTGCCTGTTTTAGAGCCTCATACAAATAGAATTATACAGTATGCATTCTTTTATTCAGCATAATTGTTTAAAGATTCAACCATGTTGTAGCCACAGTTTGTTCCATTTTATTAGTGAGCAGTATTTCATCACATGGATATTCCATAGTTCATCCATTGGATTGTTCCCAGTTTGGGGCTATTACAAATAAAATGTATAAAATACCTTTGGGAAGGCATACATTTTTATTTACCTAGAGTAAATACACAGGAATGGAAATCCTGGGCTTAGAGTGGCCTGGGAGGCAAAATGTATAAAACAAAGTGTTCCAGGGTGGCTCAGTTGGTTAAGCAGTCCACTCTTGGTTTTGGCTCAGGCCATGATCTCACCATGCTGAGATCAAGCCCCATGTCAGGCTCTGTGCTCACAACCTGGGGCCTGCTTGGGATTTTCTCTCTCTCTCTCTCTCTCTCTCTCTCTCTCTCTCTCTCTCTGCCCTCCTCTGTTCTCTCTCTCAGTCAGTAAATAAACCCTAAAAAAAAAAAAAAAAGTGTTGTAGCCCTGCAATCAGTCAGAGGTAGCCTAGCATACCTGCATATTAGTGGGGCTGTTTATTAACATGGAGGTCAATGTACTTTACAGGTGTGTCAAAAGGATTAGAGAGAATGTATATAGAGTAGCTGATAAAGATACCGAATAAATTATAATAAAAATAACTAGAGACAGAACTAGGCTGGACTGGAACAAGATCCCTGAATTTCTCAGTGATGCATTTTTCCACTGCTGCATACTGTTCACCTTCCCCCAACCCTCATCCAGCCAAAGGCTCTCCCTGCCTGCCCCTCTCCAACCCACACCCTCTCCTGTCTTTGAAGTGAAGGCTATAAAATATCAACTACCTTCTGAAATAATTTAGAAATGCTCTTTGGTTTGTTCATTCTAACAGTTTTTAGTTCTCTTTGAGGGACGGACAGATGGAAGGGAGGGAGAAAATCCAAATAAGGGAACTCTCAGCACATGAATTCAGACAAGGAGAAATATCTACCTTCTAGGCAATATCAGGCTGAGATATTATCATGTGTGGTCAACCAAATCTACTGGAAGCAATAAGTGAACCTGCAAATCATTTTTGGAAGATATGGCCCCATTTGGATTTATCTAGTTCTTCCTCCATGACTTACCCTTTCCCTGTGCAACTCTTCACTCAACTCCCTTAAATGTTCAAATTAACATCTTTTTCCAGGTTTACCACCCCTTTCCTACTCCTCTTCATTCCTGTACCTCCCAGCACTCCTTCCACTTGCAGGACAGAGGAGCAAAATAAACCGCCAATAGCCAACATGTTCTATTACACACACACACACCACCTTTATCTATGTTCAACTGTAAAAATTGTGAATACTTAAGTTTACCAAGTGAATCATCAAAGATGCTATCATAGAATAAGAAGGCTATTTTTCTCCCACAAAATGTCTCCTTACTCACAGGGGCTTGTGAAACGTGACCCACCACCACTGAGTTGACAAGCTCCAGATGTCACCAGCTCCCCTCACTGAGATGGCTACTGTTCACAATCACACCTGTCCTGTAAGACTTTCTCCCTGCTCGGTCTTCCAGGTTTTGCCTGATCAAGAGCCTTTCTAGAGCTCTTCAGCTAAATCCTGGGCCAGCAGACAGTGCTTCTGCCTCAGCCAATTTGAATGCATGCTGCCTATGAGATTTCCTGAGACACTCTCAGCTGCTGCATTAAAACTGCATGAGCCTTCCTCTGAAGGCCTAATAATAGCACGTTTCATCTGTGAACCACTTTATAAACATTAAGTGATTAAGCCACCTTCTATCTTCTCAAGCTCTGGGCTTTGGCATAGTGGACTTCACTCTCTACTGCCCTCAAATTACTCCACCAAGAAAAAAAAAAAAAAAAAAAAAAAAAAAAAACCTGAGACCTGAAAGATCTTCTCTGGATATTTTAGGTAACAAAAGACCTTGGAGTAACGACCCTTACTTGGGTAACGATATGGAGAAGAGAGGGATTTAAAGCCACGCTCCTTTGAGACTGAATTGAGGCTCTCATCTCCCAATGTTAGATTAGCACAGAGAAGAACTTGACTCCATGGTCTAGAGCAAGATCTATAGCCCCATGGTGCCAAAGCAAGCCCACAATCTATTTTTATAAATAAAGTTTTATTGGGAGACAGTCATGCTCATTCATTTACTTATTATCTATGGCTACTTTTGCATTGCACTATCAATTGAGTAGTTGTGACAGAGATTAAATGACTCATAAAGCCAAAAAAATATTTACTATCTAGCCCTGTAGAAAACGCTTGCTGACCCCTGTAAGGTCTAAGGAACTCAGAGTTTGTTCTCATCCTATATATTCCCTAAATATCTTTAATCAATTTTCTTTCCCTTTCTGGACCTCAGTTGCTACATCCACAGACTGAATAACCTCTAAACTAACTGAGCCATCACCTTGGGCTTATTCTCTCATTGTTTTCCAAATATTAGCATCTCCTTATTTTAGATTTGTCTGATTATTACACCTGGCTTCTTTGAGGACAGGAATAGGGTTGTGTGTGTCTCATGAATCATTGCAGACAAGAGGCTCTATGCTGACTTACATTTCATTTGTAAAAAATTCAAATCATATATTTTTATATCATATGTATTATTTTTTTTTTTTGCAGAGAGATCTCACAGAATGATGTCTTGGAAGTAATAGAGGCAAATGTGTTCTTCAACTTGTCCAAATTACATGAAATGTAAGCAAGGTCCTGTGGGGTTTGCTCATCACCATTGGCAATAGCTGTAAATTTTGTGTATATCCCTGGAAGGTCCTAACTCTGCTCTATCCTCTGATCCCTAGAATTTCATTTTAAGATGTCAAAGACAGCCCAAAGGGCACCATTCTGTGTCTCTCTGCCTGGTGATCCAAGTACCAACCAAGAAAATAATCTTGTCCTGCTGTCTCCCTCCAAGAGGTTTTTTTTTTTTTTTTTTTTTTCCAATAGTAGACCCAATAACCTTGTGCTGTGACTGAAGGGGTCTCTATCTCATCGTTTCTTTTAAAATTATTCCAGGGTCAAAGTCCAAAATAAATCCCACATGATGTAAAGATAGGCAGTCCTCACTTGAATACTAGTCTATGCCATACACTTACCATGAAACCTACCAAGAAACAAAAGCATTCTAACACTTAGTTTTCCTTAACTGTAAAATGAGAGTAAAAGTGCATGCCACAGGATCACTGTGATGAACAAAGGTGATAAATATAAATTAGATCCAACATCAACTGACATAGAGTAAATATGTCATAATGATACTTGGTACCTTTATTACAACCAAATTTACTTTGTTTTTAACATTCTGGTTTTACACACCTGTCAATATTCATACAGATATATTTCTGTTTCATACCAGCCTATAACCACCATAAATTAATTCACAGAATCATAAAATGTCAAAGCCAGAAAAGACTAGACACTATCTGGTCCCAAATTTTCCAAAGTACAAAGTGTTTTTTAAAAAGGTAAACGACTTTATGGTCAAGTTATATTAGGAAACATTGGGCAAATGTTAGGCTCACTTACTATAGGAAAACTCAGAACCTATCATGTGTGAATATACACTTGGAATATCCAGGGAGGCATTTTATTGAGGGTTTTTCAACCAGTATCGCTGGTAAGGTTTCTTCTGTGGGGCATTTATTAACACCTCACAAAAATCCCATGCAACATAGTTAAGAAAGTGAATGAACCACTTTCCTAATATTACAGACAAGAATGAAAGTTGCAAGGCTTATCTAAAGTCACCCACCCAAATCCACAGCAGGATAAGGACTTAAACATAAATACCAACTCTTATATTTTTAAAAAATTTCTTATCATTTGCCAAGCATATATACATATATATACATTTATACATCCATATAATTCATACACACACACACACACATTTAGAAATGATACTCAGTCTGTCCATACTGGCAGACTACCCTCTCCCTTTTCCTTCCTTCCACCCACTCTGCCTCCCACCTGCATTCTTCCTCATTGCTGTTAAGCCTCTGAAACTGATGCCTTTCCTCACTTTCCCCCATTGCCCTCCTGTTCCTTCTTTTCTTCTCTGCTTGGTCTCTCCTTACCCTAGTTGGAAAAAGAGAGTTTCACCAGGGTCTCAGAACCCACAGGAAATGTCAAAGAAATGAACCAAAGAGCAATCAGCCCTCTGGGCGGGGTTAAGCAGGCATCCCTTTCTGCAGTTCAACAGGCAGTAGAGCTAATGGAACAGCTCTTTCATCTCTTCCCTGCATGGAGAGGTGCTCACCCCCATGTAGCACTGACTATACTTAATTAATTACCTGGTACTTGGATCTGGGTAGCTACAGGTTACTGCAACATAAAAGCTAATGAAACAGGGAGGAAGTAATTAACACAGAGCATATCTGTAAATATACATTGATCCAGCAAGATGAGGAAAGGTCAGCCTCTCTCTGTTGGAATCCAAATGTGAACACATTCACCTCCAGACTATTGATCAGGACACAGCTAAAGACAACAAGGGCAAAAGTCACCACTTCTCATGAGCTGTGAGAGCAGCCTCAGTCTACAGCATGAAGGGAATCAGCAGCACGTTCCCAACTACTTCCTGCTACAATTGCATGATTAAAATCAGATGTCCACTGCTTTTCACCTGATCTTTGCTTTCCTTTGCCTCTTTACTCTTTCTCCAATCTCCTTTTGCTTCACCCTTTTGCTTCCTGCCATCTTCTTTTCACCTTCTTTTGTTTTCTATCCCCTACTCTCTTGTCTCCAAATCAGACAAAATCTCCATTTCCCAGGTCAGTCTCATCCCTGCCTTCTTAGCCTCCTTAGACCCTGAGAGACACTTACTGGTTAAAGACACAGTGTGCTGGGTGAAAAGGACAAACTCAGAAAGTGTTTTGTTTGGCTATGTTTAATGTCCCAAGAGGACATTAGTGATGAAAGCAAAATGGGTTAATATTTAGTTTGAACAACTTAGCATAGTGAAAACACTGCATGTGTTCTAAACTTTTTTGTTGAAATGATGGATGGATAGATGGATGGGTGAGTAAGTGATATACTCTTTGCATAATGTGAAAAATACTACAGCATTCCTTACAGTTGAGCTCATGTATATATTCTTTTCTGTTTTACAGTAGAATTGAAAAGGCCAACAACCTACTATACATCGACACTGATGCCTTCCAGAACCTTCCCAACCTCCGATATTTGTAAGAACTCTTATATTCTGGTGCGGCCACTATAAACGAATTGTGTATTCCTGGTTTAGCACAATGTCTACTTGTTACTCTGGGGGGCAACTGCTTTTTATGAAAGATGTGGGGTTACCTAGACATGGAAGGGAGACACTTGCTGGTAGATTTTTAGTTTAATATGTGAGTTCCACTAATATAACTGCATTTTTGTTTTCATTTACAAAAACAAAGAATTCCATTTGCATTAATGTAATTTCACATGGACCTCTTGCATAACTCAGTCATAATTTAGTGTTATTAATAAGATACAGCCAAAATTTGTGCTAGCATTTAGCTTGTTACCTTAACCTCAAAGACATCATCCCTTTTGTTCTGCATATATGCATTTTTTCTTTGATAACTTACAGTGTTTTATTTTTTAAGTTTTAGTTAGTAATAGACATGGTATTTTACCAGCAGAGAGATTCCTGGTGTTTGAGCCCCATCAGCAAAATCACTGCTTCTTCCATTCAAATACCTTTCCAAACAGCTGAGTGCTTGACAGAACCCAGAGTGCTATGAAAGGACCCCACAAAGTAACCAATAAGGACTTGGGCTAGAAGTCACAGTAAGCCCATTTACTAGCCACTGGTCACAGGCTACAACCTAATGTCTTGATGCTTATTTGCTTATTTCCTTATTTCCCTACCACAAGAATGGAAATAACAATGGTAATAGTATGTATCTGTTACCTATTGGCATAATAATGCATAACTACCTAAGCCCCTCCCCCCACACACAGTTTTAAAGCAACAGCTATCATCTCTCATCTGTCTGTGAGTTTATCTGTGGAATGGTTCTCCTGACCTGGAGTGTTTGACCTCAGCTAAGCTCGGTTAAGCAATTACAGTTAGGTGGCAGGTCAACTGGGGGCAGGCTGCCCTAGATGGTCTCAGTTGAGATGACAACACCAAGTGGAGCTCATTTCCAGCAGCCTAACATAGGCTTGCTCTAATGGCAGTCCTGGGGTTCCAACAGAAAGAGCTCAAGCTTGCAAGCCTCTTGAGACCTACCCCCTGAACTAGTATGCCATCTATTCTGAAGCATTTTATTAGCCAGACCAACTCATGCGGCCAGCTCTGATTCAAGACATAGAGAAATGCACTCCATTTTTTCATGGGAAAAGCTTCACAGTCACAATATAAGATGTGTTGATCCAAGTAAGGATAGAGAATTGAGGCCATCTTTGCAAACAATTTAAAGGATGTAAAAAAGTTTTATACAGTGCCTGTCACACAGTAAATGCTCACATCAACATTACTTGCTAGTGATACTTTGTCCCTAAGTTTTGATCCCTGAGAACTGGAGTTAGTAGGTTCAATGAGCAACACTGGGCCTTTGTGTGCCTCATCTCTACAAGAATAAAAGGTTTAACAGAACAGAGTCTATATGACATGTAACTTCCCCTCCCTGATAGAAGCTCCAGGAAGGATCTGAGAAAGAGTTAAGGTCATCCACTCCTGAGTTAATGTCAGAGGCAGGACTAGCTTCATTGGCATGCTGCCCATACAGTCACACAGGGTTCCATGCTCAAAAGCACCCCACATTCAGAGAGCCTCACACTAGGTTTAATTTCCTGCTTCCACAGTCTTGAAATGCTTATACTTTTTTTTTAACAAGGGGCCCTGAATTTTCATTTTACACTGTGCCCCCCCAAATAGAGCCCATCATGCTCAGAGGTCAGGGTTATGACCTCTTCTATTTTCAGACTTGGGTGTGTTGGATCCCTAAATGGACTTCACTATACTGTCTGCAGATTAGCAGACTAGGCACAGAACAGTGGAGGAAATATGGAATAATAGAAGGCATGAGCATTAAAGAAAAAAAAAAAAACTAAGACTTCATCCTCATCCCACCATTTACTTTTGGGTCATTTGCTGGACTTCTGAGACCCACTTGGCTTATAGGACCCTCAAGTGAGATTTACATAGGAAAATATTACATAAACCATGAAGTGTTCAAAAATATTAATATATGTACCGAGTACTTTGTAGGATGATTATTTCTAGCCAACCAAAGTCTACCAGTCCACCCTCAAGAAAAGTCCAGTAAGGACTGAATAGAGTTATGGTGGCCACCAAGACCTTCAGCTCTTACAGTGTTTGTCTTAAGTTCAAAAAAACAAGTTTAGGAAATGCCTTTACATTTCATGAAGCATTATAGAAAAGAAAACTATGTATGATGGCAGAAGGACTGGATTCCAGGTGGGATATTGTTATTTATTAGCTAGATACCCAATTACCTTCTCTAAGCCTCAGTTTCCATATCTGTAAATAGGGTGCTTGTGAAAAATAAGATGATGCCTGCCAAAAACATTTTACAAATTGTTTCTCAGTATGTAAACTATAAACTGTACAAAATTATTAGCACCTGTTACCCAACTGACTTCTTTCATTCCTTCCTCTTTTCTTCTTTCCCTCCCAACTACCTTCTTCCTTCTTTCTCTCCCTTTTCTCTTAGAAAAGTCCAAGTGGGATGTGGGGGCCACAGAACCTTCAATAACAAAATATAATCACCTTAGGACATGCAAATGAATCCACAGGGGAACTGCCATTCACATGCATGTAATGAAAAGCATTCCTGCAGAAGATATATCCAAAAAGAAAACAACCCCCTCACATACATATTCTAGAGCACTTGATAGTAACAGTATGAACAATAGCCAGAATGGTGGGCTGGGAGCAAGTAAATAAGGGATGAGGAATCATTGCAAAGTTTGAAATCAAGATATCCAGAATTAGACCCAATACTGGCCCACACCTGGTAGTCACCACCATTCACTCTTATGAATAAGGACCCTCAGTCCTCCTTCTAGGGGGTAAGAGCTGGGGAGGAACTTGGGAGGATGTGAGCATGGAAGGCATAGCCCCAGGTGGAAGGAATGGAAACTTTGGCCAAATAGAGGGGCCAAGCTATGACTTTGACTCTGAAAGAGGCTAAAATCTATACCATCAGTCATGAAATCCAGCCTCCCCTCTGGATCCTTTTCTCCCTTTGAGGGGTTGAGTAGTCCCCTGTCCCTCTGGTTCCCCATCAAGTCTAGACAAAGCTGTAGGTGGCCGATTCCAGCCACATCCTTTCATAAGAGGAGGTTATTGTTCTCAGAGCATTTGAAACCTGATTTCTCAGTGCAGCAAGAAAAGAACTTGTAAGCAGTTGGAAGTAATTGTGTCATTGTCAAAGGATCCTCCTTGGTTACTCTGGAAAATATATAATTCTACAGCATAGAAAATTCTTTCACAGCCACTGCCATGCCTTTCTCCATCAGGAAGTTAAGAGGAAGAGTTGTCCATCTTAAGCCTTTTGACTTATTGACGAGGGTGGACTTTTCCCAGCTGTGCATCCTTCCTTCAGATGTGGCACACAATGACCCAGAGATTGGAGCAACCACCCCAAAGGCACTTTCTACCAGCAATATTTCTATTCAGGGCTCAGACTGTGGCCCTTTGAAAAATTTCCCATACTGATAAGGTATCTAAGTTAGTTGGACCCCTAATCTGAAAGATTCTATCAGGGAAACAAAGCCCAGTTAGGCTTCCTTCTCCCATGCTTACTTGTGTCTGAGCAGCAGTCATAAATGGCCTCACAATCCAGCAGTCAGGTATAGGTGGATGGCAACGATTTCAGATATTCTTTGGGATGATGAACTACTTGCTTAAAGGCAAAGAAGAAATACAAAATGAATGAAGGAATCCAGAGGGAACCAGTAGGATTGAATAGTTGTTTATTTCCTGAAGCCAGGATAAATGTTTATCATCATCACAGCCACCAAAGCAGGAAATTACAAAGGGTTAGGGGTGAGTTTCTATTTGACTTGAGCATCCTAATTCACAAACACACACACACACACACACACACACACACACA